ATGTGTGTGTTTGTGTGTGTTTTTTTTGTATGTGTGTATGTGTGTATATGTTTACTTATTCTTTATTCAATACTTGTTGCTTCGATTCGTCACTCATCGTATTGGCAATGCATCTATCAGTTCAAAAAATCATACTATAAAAATTCTTACTATATTGGAGTGTAAACCAACAAGCATACATCAGTACATACGTTATTGGCACTGGCTTCGGCCAGTTAACTGTTTGACCTGGGTTGAGAAATGGTTCTGCGGTCGCAGCAGCGGCGGGAAGTATCCATACTAATTTCGTATAAGAACACAGGCGGAGTTTGGGCATTATGTTGATAGATGAACTGGTTCATACATATCCCATATATTCTGTCTAATATAGTAATCACTTACATATAGTGATAGAGATAAAGCTATTATAATTAATACGTTTATTACATATTGAGACTTTTATAGTAAAGGTATATTACTTTATTTGTATAGAGATAAAAGAGGTATATAGAGACAATATTGCAAATGCGTAAATAACTTCAAACTACTGTGGTCTGTGGACTACATTTTGTATTTATTTAGCCCTCTCTATATAAAGACACGGCTGATATCGAGATGAGTTTATGCGCCAAAATGTTTTAACCAATCAGAATCATTTTGAAGAATGTTTACAATCAGTGAATCATATTTTCAAAAATACGTTCAAATATTTACTTCGTTTTTTAAAAATCCAATCAGGAACCAAAACTTTCGATTGGTAATTTGAGCTTTATGCAGCTATAGTGAGTCATAATTACCAGTTTCCTGTTTTACTGATACACGTCCAGACAAATTATATCAAAGACATGTGCTGTACAGCGACCGCAAGAGGCTCTTCAAATCTAATAAATGCACCGATTCGAACATACATTCCCAACCGAATTTATTCGGTCGTAATTTCTACGATTTATTCTACTGAATTCTGCATTGCCGATCTCGTTCTGTGATCATTGTGTCAGGGTATGTACTTATAGGTTGATGGTTGAAATGCATAATTGACAAGGGGATAATTATATCAGATAGGCAGCAGCCCCAAAATCAATACCTCAAAAGTTCGCTAGGGTCGATGGACATCGGCAATCCATGCCGTTCCTTGCTTCTAATCTATTGATACTTCAGTGTATCCGGAGTAACTTGTGGTACAGCAATTTCATATATCACAGGACGAGGTTATATATCTGATACAGTCATCTCTGCCAGCTGTGTACTAAGCCTGACATAGCAACTCGTACTTTTGCTGCTAGTCGAAGGAAGCTGGAAATCTGTGCAGGCACAAATCAATTTTAACATTCTCGTATGGCCAGATAAAACCCACACAGTCTATTCAGAGAGTCTACGCATAGTGTAAAAAAGCATTCACGCGAAGTATAACGAAATAGCCCACACTACTACATAAGAGTTCATAAACAGTACGTAGAGTGCACACAGAGTATGCACGATGCATCAATTCAGAGCTCACCCAGCGCCCACACCGCAGAGTACACGCCTAGAGGCCCCACGCAACCAGGTAGTACTTCTTGCATATTAGAGGAGATACAGCTGCTTTGAATGTATTCAATAGCTGACAGCTACGATTAATTACCAAATATCTGCATTACAGCTTCTAAAACATTAGATAATTAATTTTCCTAGCACATAGTAACTCTGGAAAGCGATACAACTATAGTCTGCTACTTGGAAATGTACATGTGTCCAATTATACTTTTTGTGACTACCACATAAACCATCAAAAAACGAATGTCGATATTTGTATTCAGATGGCGGTATCTCTCCTTGGGCCCTCTGAATTTACTAGAAGTTATTGGGCTGTGTGTAAATGTACGCTACTCAGTTATCAAAGCCCATAGCTTGCTCTCTTGTCTCTATACGGTCTAAGTTCTGTAAATCAATATTTACCATCAAAGTGGTAAATAAATATACCTGTCGCAAGCGACAGAGGGACCTGAAAGCGTTAAACGCACAAATGAAGCTGTAATAATTAGGATGGGAAAATTTTACAATGCCTGATCTGTACCCGTTTCTATGCGTTAAAATGTGAATGAGAAACGTTGAACCTAATATGGCTTTTAGCGTGCCCAGATCTGTGACACGTTAAGTTTTATATTTATATACGCTTTCAGTGATATATTATGTATAAAATGTTTATAAAAAAAAAGCCATTTAACCCGGCAGCCGACGCGCGATGGGCGATGGCCGACACTCGACAGTCGAGGGACGACTCTAACGACACGCTAATAAAAGTACAATATTTTTTTTAACAGAGATCTGTTGTAAATTCTCATTATGTCAAACTTAAAACATCACAGAACCCGGAAATGGGGTTATTTGTATATCCATTAAAAATAAACATTAGACTGTATTTATGCTTTTTTGAAGATGAAAAAAAGTGCTTCATATTCCTTTATCGGTGGAGATCTAAATGATACATCAATGTTCAACTTCTTTCCGCACCCCCAGGCTGTACACTGCTTTGTAGGGTAAGTCCCTTCTAGCGTTTCCCAAGTACTCTATCTGAAGCAACAAGTACTGTATTTATGGAAACTACTTGAGTTTGCGTAGAGATAGACAGCAAGACAAGAAGAACTCGAAGATCCAAAGCTTGTCATGATCAAATAAAGCAATCTGTTGGAAAGGATAAATAATCGCGACACCTTGAAACATCAATAGTTTAAAGTGGCAGTCTAAACCGAACAGCAGTATTATTTAAGCTACATATCATCTACAGTGAGCATATAGCCTGCAATTTACGCCACGCATATATCAAAGATTTTGACATACACAACACAGCGCACACACATACACGCCCTAGATAAGCACGATGTCAGCCTTGTTGCAGTTGCCCAGCAATGCTGTAGAGGACACCATTGCAGGGGATGGGCTTGTATGTGACTTCAGTGCGACTGGATTGGACAACCCTGAATCTCATACACTTCATGCATACTCTACATCTCCATCGCAGACTGAGACAGCGACGGTTAAGGCACATAAGCACAAAAAGAACTCACCTATGCAAAACCCCAGTGCGCGACTGCTACGCCATCTGATGAGTGCAAGCACTCCCAAAGATAATACCCACAGTGATAGCAATATTTACGGCTCGGATGGAGATGATGGTAACATTGAAGACAAAAATAATACTAACAATAGTGCTAATACCAATTCCGGATCGAACTCGGGCTCGGGCACCAACACCCCCACCAAGCGATTGTTCTACCTGGACGTCGCACTATTGCAGCAACTCAATCAGGAAAGCAACGACGGTATAGTCTTCGCAGCTGATTTCCAGGAGATGCTCGAGACCGCTTCTAGACTCAACTTCAACGTCGCAGAGGATATAAACTGCACCAACGGCATGAATTCAATGGACGCGGATACCATGAGCTTGGCATCTCATGTCGGGAAGGTGATCAGCGGGTATATGGTGTTGTACAAGCAGGGTAGTAATGTATTGTCGGAGAGTGGGGGTTCGCACAAGCCCAGATGGGTCTCTTTAACTCAAGGTGGGAAATTAGTCGTGTGCAAGCGTGCTGAGAATGGACAATACTTGGGTAAGCCACGGATCATAGACCTCGTGCACTACGACAGATGTGACTTTGTTGGGGAGAGTAAGACCTTGATAACTCTGTACTCAACGGACCGTAGCAGTAACGTCAAGAGCCTGTGCTTTGTGGCACCCGAGGGCCAGCTGGCCTGGGAATGGCGCAACCTGATTAACACGAGTATAAACCAGGTTAAACTAAGGAGTATGCTGAGGAAAGAAGTGCAGGGGACCAGGGGTATGATTGTGGGAGGTGCAGGTTCAAGTGCAGGTGCAGGTGCAGGTGCAGGTGCAGAGGGCCCAGAAAGTTCGGTACTTGGTACAGTGTCGCATATGGCGAGTACGCGCGAGTGCTCGGAAGAGGAGGGGTACAGTGCCAGTCCGGCATCGATGTCTTGAGTATAGCTCATGCATAGCTAAACAGAATGAGCGGCTGACACCCCATGCGGATTCTGTGTGAGCGTGAAGCTCACTATTCATGCATACAGTACTAGTAAATGTGTTGGTACGTACTATGGTATAAGTGGCATACTTGAATATGGCCTAGCATGTACGT